TACGCGCGCAACATGGCAGTTCGTATTTTCAGTCGATTTTAATTCAGTTTTATTGAAGATCCTTCAAAACCACCATCGTCAAAACCGCGCTGTCAAAATAATTTGAGATTTTCTCTGTGGTAATGGCAGGTTCAATACAGCAGTGTTATATGATCACGATTTCTATTACAGGACAAAATAGAGCTGTGTTCTACTAACTACTTAATATGACATTTCAAATGCATCCAGCTACCAACAATCACCACTAGCATACAACATACAAGTATATTAGGAACCAAACGTTTAAACCACAGCGCTGATATAGCTAATCTCAAACTCAATCTTATAGGACACAAAATGGGCTGATGGATCATTTTGTTATTTTGTTGTTATTAGAATTCTTCTTGTTGTTGAAAAAAATGTTATTTTCTTCAACTACTGGACCAATTGCTTATAAATTTTCAGTGGTTAAAGATTGTTGTTGTCACTAGAGGGCTATTACTGTAGTTTTATTCGTTTCTAATTTCGCGAAGTGGTACTACGCGAAAGTCGGAAGTTTTTTGATAGGGGGCCTGTATAGGTAACCAGGGGCCTAATGTAGTTTAGTACGACAAGTACTTCTGGTGGCGTAACAATTGTTGAGTAGGCTATGTCATTCCTGACCGCCATCTGACTACGTCATCGACTATCATTGTTGCAGACGCCATTACGGGAGATCGTCGCTATACTTTGGCAAGTTCTATTGCGTGATTATGACGTAGCAATGACGTAGTTTTTAGATGGCGCAGTCAGGAATGATATGTGCAAAAAATTGTTACGCAACGAACTACAGAAGTACCACACTAGACCCAAGTAGGGTAGCTTCCCACTGTTCCAGCATCGTTCAGAATATAGGTTTGAGGAAATTGTGGGTAAAATATTCCGTTTCGGCTTTCGTGTCCATATTTATCAGCATTGCTCTCTTGTTCTATAGACAGGCCCTATAACAGAATGACAAGCCTTACAACAGAATCCAATCTTTTCAAGATTTAATGAATTACGTTACTTAATAAGTTCTTCTCATTTTTCTTCAGCTTAAAATCGATATCTCCAAAGCACGTTAAAACATGAATTTTTAAGGTTTACACTGATTTTATATGAACAGGGTCCAGTTTCTGACTTTTGGATCCATTAAATTTGATCTGATTGAAAATTCTATGACAAAGATATCGGGAAACATATTCGCGCACGTCTTGATGATGTAAACTATTTTGAAGAGCATGTCAGAAGATGACTAAACAAATGTAAACAAGTAGGTATGCAAGCTAATTACATTCCTCGCTCTTTCAAAAACGAAACTTCTGAAAACATTCTTCGTAAACAAGAAAGTCTCTGCGGATTTTCACGTCAGATATTATTGAATTAATTGAGAAGAAATTTATTTATAGGACCGATATTATATATTTTACTTTGCCGAGGTCCTAATAAATCAATATTTACGGAGCTTTCAGGTTTGGTGGTTTGACCAAATGCATCATACTTTAACGTTCATAAATATGGTACTTTCGTAATTTTATATATTATTTCTTGATAAATACTGTTTGAAAACTGTATCAATTTAAAAAGATTTTACTTTCAGTTAGCGTGAAGCACCATATATTTTCAGCGGATAACGTGTTTGATGGAACATGGTATTTAATATGATACTTTGTACACCATAGCACTAACTACTCAATCAATCTTACTAAATCGATTCCATTGGAAAAGTTGAACCAAAATCGCACAATACAATATGTTGCGCTGAGCGATTAGTGTGTGGGTAGCCGGATATGGATAGGCCATCGTCACTGTTGTGGTTACAGTTTTTGGTTTCTCTATATTTTCATTATGGAGAAAATTTGGTACTCCCGTAGTATATGTACCAGATTAGGGTTAGGCCATAATTTTATTCCGATTTTCCTTACTTTAGTTCTATTACGAATTCGGGGACTGTTCGTGTTAGCCAAGTGAATATGCCCCTTACCTATAGGCTTCAGTCCCTGTATACAACTTGATGTGAAGTAGGCAAACAAAATTAGTTACCTACCTATTGGTACACATACTTCTGTAGCGTCGAAAATTTTGTATAGGTCATGGCAGTGAGTCGATAGACTATGTCAATGCATTATAATAAATTGGCATTAGAGTGGAAAGGCAACAGCTCTGGTGATAAAATTACATTGACGTAATTTAATGCTACCAGATTTAACCCCTACGCCAACTACTCCGCCAAGATACAGTCAATTAGACAGGCGATGTCGAAACAAAAATGCAGTATATTTAAGAAAATAATTTCTTCCTGTCGTAGCATTTCCTCTTGGCAAGAGTGATGACTGATAAAAGTTTGAAAATATTGAAAAAATTAAGCAAAATCTAAGAAATCAAGTAAATGGGGAATGCGCCAGAAATAAATAATATTAAACAATTCGTAAATTTTGATAAAAGTTGATTAATGACTCCCATGAGTAATTCTAACAATGATTGATAAAACAACACTCAATGAAATAAAGTATAGGATGAAAATTGATTTATGAATCCCATGAGTAACTGCAGCAATGAAAGAATAAACAAACGTTTTTCGCAAAACGGGAAAAAATTCACAACATAGCTCCTAGGAAAAACTAAAATACACGCAAAATTAGAATTGACTGGAAACGTTTGAATTAATTAATAGTTGTTGCTGTTTGTAACTAGCGATAATGTTTTCATAATGAACTGAGCGTTATTTTTTGATACCCCGTATACACACTAATACTCAATTACAAAAAGGTGGTACGTGCGCTTACATACCAACACAAAAGAAGGACCCGGATTATTGAATCCTCTTGAGCAGTAAGAAGTTCACAACATATTTACATCGGCAGATCGGTAACATTGAATAAAATGCACTCGAAGACCGGCAACAAAATGTTGAAATACAACACAAACTAACACGTATTTGCGTAACATAATGCGATGTTTCGGCCCAGGCTATGCTTTTTAGAACAAAAATCAGAAAATACATACAGTCTATAACAAGCAACTATCATTTTGACATTAATAAAATTTTTATTCGCATAATCTTGGGTAATTTGTAGAACATAGAGTGTTACAAGAGTTTCAAAATCCCATATTATGGCCTGTGCCACTCGTTATTTTCTTGTATACAATTTAGTAGAAACTGTGTGTATTTACGCCCGAATTATCTTTCGTGTATTTATTTCAAATTTGCTTCAATGTGTTGTTACTTATCGATTTTAATCGGTAAGTAGGTTGATAGGTATTTGTCTGTTTGCTTTTTGTCTGTTAGATGCACGCTAGATTAAATCTGCTCCAGATTTGGCATGTGCATTCAACATATGTCGTACCAGAAGCCTATTGATTTTGGATGAATTACGTAGTATAATTAGCGAGTTATTAATTAATTAGTGATGGGACACAAGGTGTCACTATGGAGTAAAGCGCTGTTTTGGGGTATCCCCTAACTTTCGATCGATAAGTCTTCGGTCTCTGACCGATTTGGGGTAAGTCGGGCACGTGCATCAGCATGTCTGAAATACTTTCAAATTTTGTCTGCTTCCCTGATTTTCCGTATATTTGCTTGTTTTGCTCTGTAATGCTTCTTTGGTTTGTTTTAACTAGGCTTACCATACGTCCCGCTTTAGGCGGGATAGTCCCGCTTTTTAGCGTCTTGTCCCGCCTTGGCGTTCAGCCATTCAGCATAATACACGAACATTACCAATTAACATGTTCTCGTTACTGTTACTCTCGTTGTTGTTGCTAGCGCAGTAGGAGCCTTCCGACACTATTTTGTAGCACCATCTTAAATCTACCTCATTCACGGTTTTTCAAATGTGATATATATATATATATATAGGTAAAATGTTATCGTGTGTCAGTATTGTCATTTCTGGCAATCGGAGAACGTCCCTGACTAAACATTGAGCATCAATTACTTCTATGATTAACAGTTTTTATTTACATTAGTGCAACAAAAATCCAAGTGGTTATGAAATTTCCCAAATTATTTTAATACAGACACTTCCTTTACAAATGGTACGAGCGAAATCCACATGTTTATTGGGATTTGATATAACCTACCCGGAAGGAAGGGAATATGAATTAATAATTTTGTGAACTATATATTCCGGAATAATCCAACCCAGGGTAATTATTCGTGCGATGTTTCAGGCATTTTTCATACCCACCGCATAATGCGAAGCGCCTATCTACGCGCAAACATTTGTTAACCATGGTTGAAAATTAGCAAACAATTCTGTCTGTAAAATTGGATGGATTTACCGAATCGGCGGACGTCCGGACTTTTCACGGGTTCTTCATTCTCCACAAAGGTGACCCTCGAGAACTACGACCAGCAGCATAGTTTTTTGTGGCTCCAAAATGTTATCTATGTTAGAAACCACTGATTAATCACGCCGTTATTTGGTAGGACATAGTATTTCTTGTTAAACAGAGCATTCAAAATTGTATGGGTGTTCCAAAAATTACTCTCAATATGTATTATTAAAGTTAGTTGTATTTTTGTTTTCATTTTTTCAATATTATTTTTGAGTTGTCTTTTCTGCGGTTAGGATACAATTCAATATATATTCGATTTATTATTATTTTTTGCATTGGTTATGTTTCTTGTTCATTGATGGTTTCTAACTATTCATCAATCCATTGTGACATGTGTCACAGTTCTGTTCCGACCAAATCCGGTGGTGCTCGTCATTGTCACAGTTTATTTTGCACTGTGGTTGTCCATTCGGAAGATCCAAGATTTCGGATTAGTGATCACTTACACTTTTTACAACACTCAGTTTTTCTAACATTATATACGTTTGAGTCCAAATTTATGCAAAAAATAGAATAAATAAAAGCCTGTCAAGAACATATTAGGAATTAATCGTACGAAATTCATCACAAGCGTGCAAAGTCAGCAATTATTATATCCTATTAGGTAAAAATAAATTTTAATTTAACTGTGCTCCCACCACCAAATATTAGAAAAAATGACTCCAGCCACGTCTTTTCAAACCAGACGTCTGTTTTTGAAAGCATTTAGTTTTTTCATGACGTTGACTCAAAGTTTTTTGTTTTGGAACGGTATTTCATGTTAAATGGATGTATTTGCCAGAAGAGTAGCATCGAAATTACTTTTAACCAAACTGAAACTGCTCAACGTGATGCAGGCCAGGTCCGCAAATTCCTTGGCTGAAACTTTGGCTTCAAAAGACAAGAATCAAGTGAATCTACTTTATGGAGAACATTTGATTATAGTGGATGAAAATGACAAACCAATTGGCAGTGCATCAAAGCTAGATTGTCATTTGAACAGTGAAGGCCCTCCACTTCACAGAGCTTTTTCCGTTTTCTTTTTTAATGAAAAGAACGAGCTTTTGATGCAGAGAAGATCAAATGCTAAAGTCACATTTCCTGGTTATTATACCAACACATGTTGCAGTCATCCGCAAAATAATAAATTTGAGATGGAAGAAGCAGACGCAATTGGCGTGAAACGAGCAGCACAACGCAAAATGACCCAAGAATTAGGAATCTCAGCAGAACAATTTCCTCTCAAAAATATAAATTATGTGACAAGAATTTTATATAAAGCTCCTTGCAGTGATACATTCGGAGAACATGAAATTGACTATGTTCTTTTTGCAAAGGGGAATGTAGATGTTATCATTAATGAAAACGAAGTTAGCGAAGTAACTTACGTTCCATATGGCGGAATGGATGCTTTTGTGAAAAATTGTGAAAGTAGAGGAATACCAATTACACCTTGGTTCAAGCTTATTATGGAATCACAATTGAATACTTGGTGGAGAGACATTGATAACATACATGAACATTTTAATCATAAAGCTATAACGAAGTTTTAGTGATAAAGTCTTTTTGCGAGACAAACTAATTATGCATCTTCTATGCTTTGGCATAGAATGCTATATGCATAAAAGATGTTGTAGCAATATTGAATATAACTATTCTTCCAACAAATATATCCCCAAAGGTGTGATACTAATTGTTTGTATATGCATTCATTATTTTTTTATCATTGCTGAAGTATGCTTGTCTGAAGGATTCAGACTTAGTTTTGTTATTTATATGCTAATGTGAATAACTGAAAAAAGTTTTTCACTAATCTTTAAAATAAATCAACTTATGATCACCAAATGCCAATCGTGCGAATCTATAATTCACTTTACTCTATGTAAAGAACAGAGTGCAGTTGATTTTTTATTTTGGAATCTAGGTGCACTATTTAAAATTTCCAGATACAGACTGCTACATATTACTCATGCCAGTGATTTTGTTTACTGCTTTATTTACCAAGGCGCAAATAAAGCTTGATTAAGCTTTCAACTCGCTGAAAATATAACTGATTTTCTGCATATTGGGCCTATTTTCATTTTGCCTATTGTAGCCGCACATGTTGCACTTACATTTACTGTGTCACAAACATATTTTTGTTTAATACTAGTGCATGAAATTGGGAACATGTTATTTGACACTTATGTGTGTACACCTGCATGTGTCAGGGTTCTGAATGATGAACAATCAAAAATTTTCATTATGCGAATATTACCAATTTACCACCTGTGAATTTGTCCAATTTGTTTGTGACCTCTTGCATTTTACCCTATATCAATCATGAATAATATTAATAAATTGCACAGGTGTGTAACTTGTATTTCTTGTTCAGGATTGGGATATATCCTGTTTTTTCATTGTATTTTGTGCATCATACTGATAAGAGAAACTATGATCTTGTTGATTGGTTTTTCAACGGACCTCACCAAGATGGCCGACATCCTGAACTCAGGTTGTGCAACATCTTGGTGTGCATACTTCAGGAGTACCTTTTCAACACTGGTGAAAAAGACTTGCGGTTTGCTACAATCACGTTACATCAATTTTGTCTAGCTAATTAGTTGCAGTAAGAAATAACGTCTCAGATACCGTGTTGGGAGACTTTGAATTCAGAGAAAATTTTGGACCAGTTTTTACAATAGCAGATTTGAATAAGATCTTTTTGAGTTAGTTACTTGTATCCATTTCCTATGCCTTTGAAATGAAAATATTCAACTGCATCAAAACGCTATTGTGCCGTCGATTTATTCAGCTTCTTTCTGTAGGATTACAGAAGCTTAGGAACAACAAATTAACCATAGTACTATATGATAACTGAATTTGGAATGTCTAGCCTGTGATTTGCAGTTGCTCATTATGCAAATCAATATATTATTATTAGGCAGTTAAAAACAAAAATAGGTTCAAATCTAGCACTGTTCCTGCTCTTAATAAATACAAAAGCTAATATACTTCACATACCGTAATTATCAAAATGGAGCTGTTTCTGTTAAAAGTCAATGACAAATAATACTGTCTTTCTGCAATAAATTTAATAATAAATGCTCTGAAAAACATATTGATAACTCATAATTATTAAATAACCGCTAAGAATAGGGAAAACCTCTAAATTACACAACAGAATTGAAGAAAAATTGCTCTAAGCAAATGAATGTTGATCACCATAAAAATTAACAATATAAAATTCTAAAAAATATTCAACATATATCGATAGTAATAAAGATTACACATAATGTCATCCGCCATTGCACCGCCCAAAAAATAAAAAGTACGATACTTGAAATGAATTCAACACAAATGAATTTAAATTTGTTTCATCATTACATCATCGTATCGGCTCTGCAGCAAGGTTTCCTGATCAATTCATAACAGGATGCAAACTGTATGCTGATGTTACATTGGAAATGAATTAAAACCATGCATTCCATACACCGCTGAACACTTTATGGAATGAAGATTTGTGCATGTTCACCAGTCATGCATTTCACGGCAGCACGGATTATGATTCAAAATTAAATGTGTTTTCACAGAGGACCCAGTTAGGCGCATAAAATATATTGGAACATGTAATAGGTCACTCACTAAATTTGGTAGTAAAATAATATAGTCATAACACATGAGCTATATTATGAATGTGGATGGAAATATAAAATTTGGTCGCCATCAAATTAATTTGTACTAAATTAGGTCTATAAAAGTTGAATGAAATTTTTACAACATTTATTGCATTCTGTGAATAATTATTTTTTCCAAATTCCATCAAAGTCACTTTCAACATGGATAAAATCGCTATTCAAATTTATTTATAATAAAAAAAAACATTAAATTTGTTTATTTTTGTTCAATAATTAATTGACTGCTCATGTTAACAAAATATATTCAACAGCTGGAAAATAATGAATAACCGCTAATAATTTATGAGCCCATCACATGATACCATGAAGCTAATTATCAATAACAAGGAATAGGGTAATCCTATCACCAAAAAATAACTAGTATTCAATATTCTGGATTTTCACATAATGTCAGATTGAAATTTCAATAGATAGTATTACTGGCTTGTTTAAATGTTCATTTCTGTGAAGAAACAATCTTGAATGAAATATCACACGGCATGCAATGAAACCACCACTTAACATGATATAATCTTAATCTATTCAAACACTAATTAAATACTAACCTAAATAAAATAGTCATACACTTGTACTGAAATAAAATCATGGGTCTACACCAGTGGATCCCAAATTTTTTAGAGTTAGGACCCACTATTTATTTCCACAGCTTATGGCGACCCATTTAACTTTTTATGACATAACACAGAACACAGCAATGGCTAATCATCGCAAAACTACAGTGTTTCCTCGAAAATAGGACCTGGCCTGAAAATAAGACCTAATTTGAATTTTTAAAATGATTTTAATTAAACCCTACACTTTATTTTTGATAAATGAAAACAAAAGACCTCTTTCAAAAAAAAACAGTGTTATTCTTCAAAAGAAAATAAATCTAAATCCTGTCTAAATTTCGGGGAAACATGATAAGAAGTGCTGTACAATGTACAAAACTGCTATGCGTTAAAACTTAAAAGCCACATGGTCTTTCTTTGTGTAGCAAATTTTTGTTCTTTTGAGAAGATCGTAAAAATGTAACTTTCACAGATTAGAATTTAAATTCAATTTAATTTTTTTTTTTTTTTTTGAAGATTTACGTATTTGAGTCGCCACCGATCCTAATACCCAGTATATTTAATAAAAGCTTACGAAACACTAAGATTCCTTTTGCGACCCATAGTTTGGGAACCGCTGGTCTACACAATGATTCTGCACCGGGTACATTTATATCAAGAATATATGTGCAAATATCAAAAAAGGTATTACAAGGGCAGTAAAACAGAATAAAAAAATATTTCACAAATGAATCAGACACAAGGATTAATTAACAGCATATAGCACCTGAAATATTGTGCAAAAAGTTCCATTGGCAAACTGAATCCAGACTAATGTTAAGCAGCTTTTAGAATTTAGTAAAATATGATTCATAAATTTAATCTTAGATATTCATCCCCTTTTATTTTCTGGATGAAGCCTGATATCATTTAATTTAACTACAGTACAATTCAACAATGCAAAAAATAAATTGAAAATACCAAGACTAAGACATAAAAATGCTGTAGTACACTCAATAAAATACTTAAATCTACTAAAAATTTGTAAAAATAATTAAGATTCACAATATTGAAGAAATTGGGATTAAATCAATTGCACTTTTTATATGTTAACAATCTTGTACTATTTCTTAGGAAATTAAAAGCACAAGATCTGAACTAGGTTAATAATGTCCAAGAAATTGGTCAAGAACAATTTTCAGAATTAAACTCCTCAAGACTCATAAATTGGACAAAAAGCCAATCAATAAGTGTATTCAGATAGTTATAGTTGTAGAGTATATTTTCTACTACCATTTTTCGATGCTATGAATTCATTGTTTCAATCTTCTCTTTTTCTGGTGGTTTTTCATCGTTTATTTCAGGATTTAATTTCTTCGCCACAGGGTTAGGAACTTTCTTGATTGGTTTTGGTTTTATCCGATTCGGAGATTTCAATTTTTGAACAAAAACTGCGTCTTTCCATGGCAGTGAAGTACGATTTAAATCCACTGTTGAATCCGTTTGATGAGATTTCTTATTACCCTGTCTGCCGATGAGTAAATGATTCACCGCAACCGGGGAACGTGCTTCGGGCATCCCAGAGATCAAAGATATAACTTGTGTATTAGTGGGATTTTCTTTTTTTGCTTTAGTTTCACCAGATTTAGTGTAAATTAAATAGTTTGATTGTAATTGACGATTGCAAATCTTCATATACTGTCGTTTTAATGCAGCAATATCAGTTGACATTCTTTCAGCCATCATGCCATTTGGATTATTAGCGGAGCCTGAATTTGCATCAAAAGCTCCTGGATTTGCACTTTTTAAATCTCCCACTTTCTTTGCTTTGTTTTTGTTCTTTGGCAACTTTGTAGAATGTCCTCCGAAGCATGAGAACGTACCACCGTCATCTTCATAGTAATTCATCTCGTTGTCTGCGATTCGTTCAAGTTGCGACTCTGGTTCACTTTCACTTGCCGTAGTGCTATCATGTGATAAACTGTATTTATAGTCTTTATGCTTTGTACGATCAAATTCGCCATTCGTATCAGAATCAGCAGCGAAAGGAGTGATATTATATTTGTATTTTTCACGAAGCTCTTTCAATCTTGGGAATGGGAAAGTAGCAATCTTATACACAGTTTTCATCAATTCATCAGCACAGATAAATTTTCCATTCAATGTTTGTTGGGTGAGACCTGCCATTGCACCATAAAATTCATCAGCTGTTTGAGACGTACCAACTTGTTCTCCGAGCTTTGCCCAAATCGCCAAGGCAACCCGAAGCAAAATTTCACTTCCATCTAAAAGTACAGAATCCCAAACTCTTAGAACTGTATTTGTAGGAAGACAAGTTGCAAATAAAGTCAAAAACCATTGCATTGTAAATACATTCGTTAAAGGTGGCTCATAACAATGCGCACGACCATTTTCATTCGCTTGTTTCTGAAGCATGTCAAAATGTTTTGATAGTTCTGGTAACCTGGCACGCAACAAGTCACGAAACACGGCCATATCGACAGAAAGTCCTCGCAAATTATCAGCAAAATAACTCTCTGGTAGAACCCCATCCACAAGATATATCATTATTTTTAATGCGAGTTGTGCATTATTTTGTGTTACTTCTAATATGAGAGCAGCTAAGACATTGAAACCCTGGCAGTATCCGACTTCTTTATTCCATCGTGCATAAGCGAGCAACACTCGTTTTAAAACCATTCTCTCCTCTTCACTATTATCACCAGACATATTTGTATATCCAGTCCGATGTAAATCCTTTACAATTTGATTATCAAGTCGATCATCGTCGGGGTTAAAACGGTCGCTAAAAACATGACGGGCTGTCAAATTCCAATTTTTTTCTGTCCTTTCTTGAATATAATTTTCGGCCAAATATCCCCAAACTTTTTTTCTCCATTGTTCTGGAATTCCTCTAGGTAGCCTTAATATGGCCCTCAGTGTTTCTCTCCATTGTTTAAATCCATGTTTACCAGGACTTGGTTCAAGACTAAAATTCAACCTGGCGTCAATGCGACGTTTTTGTGACACGGCTTGTAATATCGCTGTCAGCATGTCACAATACCTTTGATGTTTTTCTCTCAAACGAGACCTCTGCCTGAGTTGGCGAACTAATTTTGCTGATATAACAGTGACTCTTTCATCCAATTCATCCCGTATTGCTGTTACTTCTGAAAGGGATTTCGCTTCCAAAAACAATTTTTGTAATTTTCTAGTTTGTTGTCGTTTTAGCTCCTCTAGTGTCTCAGAATAAGCTTGATGTCCTCCGCTATGAGTTGCATCTGATAAGCATGAAGTCTCCGTCGAGCTATCGAGTTGTTGATCAGCTCTGTAACGATGATATATTTCACTGAGTAATCCTTGTACAAGATGCCTTTGTTGTTGATTTCCAGAATTTTTAGAAATTTGTGCCATGTTAATGTTTTAAATTGACATCAATATTAGTACTAAATCATATTTGAATTTTTAAGATTATATACTTATCGAAATCGCGCCATATTGTCACGAGTTTAACAGTGAAGGAAATCCTGTGAACAATATATTTTGTGTTATTTGATCAAAAAATATATCAAAAACTTATTTGAAGACATACGTAGGCTACTAAATAGATACATAAAAACATATAAATATGATTTTGGGGTGAATAGACAAGTTGTAAAAGAAAAAAGGAAACACTGAACAAGAAAATAAACATCCTCCTGGAGCAAAAAAATCGTACCAATGAAATCCGACAATTTGCACCAACTAATCATCTGCCTTTGATAGGTATTGAACATTATCAGTGATGTTCATAATGTCCAATATTAATAATGCAATAATTTTATGGTAGAACAGGATATACTGGTAAATCAAATTTTACACGATAAATTACAATGTCACTGAAAGGGTGAAAACATTCCTTGAATTACTTTGATGTTACCATGGTGATATGGTAAAGTAATGAATGAATAGCTTCTATATAGAATAATTTCATGTTCTACTGCATCTGATGTGACAGCATGACGAAAATAAATAATTTTTCAGTTATCATCCTAATAAACAGTCAAAGTCAAAACAAAATGTCTAATCTGCCATAAAGTATCATAATTGGAGGGTTTCAATCCAAAAAGACGAATATCAAAAAAAAAAACCTTTATTCAAAACGTGAGGAAAACTTTGTTATATTTTTGACTTTTAAACATATGAAACCTTGATTAGCGAACCAGAGCAAAAAAATTGCACCATTTGCCCTTTTGTCTAGAAACAGTCTAATTCCATATTATAGAAATGTAACATTGTCATATTTTGTTTCCTAATTCAATAATCGCATCAATTAAATCTCCATTACATGAACGTAGCGATCTAATTGCTTGATTTCTACTGACATGAAGTTCATTAATTATTGCTTCAATATCACCCAAATCAAGCCCATCCTCATTCTCTGCTTCTTCACCAAAAGCTTGAAAATTTTTACATTTTTGTTTCGAAAGCATTTCAGAAATATTCGATTCTTTTATGAGTTTTCCTTTTGCAATAAGTTTCAAAGATGTTAATGGGATTTTCAGTTTTTTAGAGATATTTTCCATCAATTCTTCTCCAGAACAAGAATCAACGTTTTGTAACAAAATTTCGTGTTTTTTGTGATTACATTTTACACTAATTGAAGTATTTGAAGCATTTGGGAATTGGATAATGTCCGTCAATTTATTTTCCACAATCTTCTGTGAATCTTCATCAAACTTTCCATTGTTGTTCGAAGATTCAAATTTAACGCAACAAAGTTTATGAGTTTTCCAATCATCTATCTGGCATTTCCTTGAACAATAAAAGACAATTCGACATTGTACACATCTCTTCATTATTTTCTCTTTAATTCCGCAAAATGAACAAGCCTGCATTTTGTAGGCTATATTTTCCAGTTTTTACGAAATAACTGTTCAACCAGAAATTATAGTAAGATACCGGGTAATCAATACCATTTTAACTGCTCTTGCGAATAAATTCCGAAATTGATTGTTGTACTGCAGTTGTAGATTTAGGCTGCTAAGCACACTGTGCCTGCAGACAAGACTTAGGTTTTGATAAAAAGCCTGGATTTAGTATCAGTCTTGATTTCATGGACTTTTACCACGATTAAAACGGGCGTGCAATCACAAATCCTGACATGTAAATCTAGAAATCGCAGCGTGCAATTGTGTTTTTGTTTCTCTTCTGTGTTAATTTAGGCTAGTTTCAGTGTGTGTTACTTTAGCTCAATTTCGTTGACAAAATGGTAATTTTATATTTTTAAAGGCTGTGACTGACCCGATGACCTAACGGTGGCTTCGTTACAGCCTCGTCACAATGCCTTGAAATTAATTTTGAAATGTTGACGAAAAAAATGATGATTGATTGCATGTAAACTATTTGACATTGTTTACGAAATAAAATACTAGGCCTACTACCTTTTTTTTTTTTTTTGTGCCAAATAAATTCCAATGCCAAACGGAATTTTCGTATTGATATTTTGGTATCAAATCATTTTATTATAAATATATAAATAGATATTTTTTTTGTTTCCATGTTTTTGTTTATCATGTTTAATCCCATTCCCCCCAATACATATGAATAGTAAAAATCAAAATAAAGACAAAATTCATACCATTACCATGATGTCATTAATTTAATATGATCCAATATATGTCCAAAAAAGTTGAGTTAATCCACATGTAATCCACTCAGCGGTTAGTTGAATATAATTTTAATTTACAGGTAATCAGTTTTTATTTTAATTTTTTAGTTAGCATGAAAAATACAAGAATACAAAAATTAGACAGAGAATATGGAAAAATCCACGCTTTCATACTGGGTTTTACCCATTCGCCATCTATGTTTCATAGTCGATACATCTTCCTCTTATGAAAATGATGTACAGATAACATACTAGGCCTACTACCGTACTACTGCTACCGGTATCAGAAAACCAGGCAAGTCTGCACGTTGAACGTCTAGAGCCCACGTGCGAATCGACCAGAACGAGCGAAAATTTAGAAACTGACAGAATGCAGGAACGAGCCGATTTGGGAAAAAAACTCGAATAAATAAGTCTAAAATTATTGAAACGGATATATCGTATACGGTATATAAACGACGCTGACGCTTCGATAGGCGCAAAGCCCGGCCTCGCAAAACGACGGGCGACGATGCGTAATTTTGCATAGATCTAAAGTTAATGAACGTTTCCCCGACCCTTGACCCCTGAACAATTCTCTCTATACTTTATCTAATCACCAAGGGTCCTCAGAAGACACAATGGCTGTAAGTTATTTATTTGTTTTACAACCATTTTTCAAAAACACAACTAAATACTGAAAAATAACACACAAAACTCCCAAAAATTTGACTCAACATTCAAAATCTTTGCGTCTAAATTAATTTAGTTTGCGGTGTTTTAAATCGTATGGTTTGCTCATTCGGTACCTTACTACAGCATCATGACACTAAATTATGTTACAAATTTAATGCAACTAATATACCTTTAAACAAAGTGGTTGGTGATCAGTTGTAGAGATTCGGAATGTGCTAACACTTCAACATGACGATGTGACGTTTGTCTACACCTCCAGTTTTTCTGAAAATATTTGGTCAACTCGACATCGACATGTGGATATACTTATAGCAATAACCCTCATGAGTTTACCCCAATTTCGGAGTTTTACCCCATTTAATTTAAAGAAAAAGGTTAATTTTTCTTTAAATTCAAACAAAGACTTTCGTAGGAATCAAATCACACCACTTTTAGAAACATAACAAGTTACGTCCTGTCTTTATCAAATTCAAATTTATATTTTCAAGACCTTTAGGCACTGATTGAGATAATTATATATAAGTTTCCATCCGTACGAGGTACATAATTGGACATGTAGTGGACATAAAGATCGTTTCAATATTATGTTGTTGTTGGACACTTTATGTTGTTGGTATTGTTATTTTTCTTTTTCTTCGTCACCATCATTATAAAATCGCTTTTCTCTTCGAATACTGGACCAATTGCTTCAAAATTTTCAGTGCTTTGACTTTTTTACAGAAGGCTATTACTTTTATTCATACCTAAATTTACTATGAATCCTATGAGATCTGATATTTCATTCAAAATTTCGCTGTTCTGAAATTTACTCATGGGAACACTGTTTTAAAAACTTATATCAAATGGTTGCGTGATCGAGCTTGCAGGTACGGTACTGCTAAGTTACCGTACCACAGTGAAATTGATTTATTTCTTTCGCGATCTTACGGTATTGCAGTAATGTAGGTTTTACTAGCAAATCTAGCCTACCGTATTTGTTAATTTAATTGAGTTTTTATATGCCAGAGAAGAACCGTTTCATGATCGAATAGCAGGCCTACATACAGCAACTGGTAAGGTACCGTAGGGCGTACGGTACCGCAGTGAATTACGTTCTCATCTTTTCGTTACAATTCTGATGTGAACAACATAAATTTTGTAGCCTACCATATTTTTTTTATTTTATTTGAAGAAGAATTGAGTTCTTATATGGCAAGAAAGAACCGTTCTGCGAACAAATTTCAGGTACTGGTAGGTTACTATACCGCATATTGTTATCGGGGAATCGATATTTTATTTTATATTGCCCTGGTACCGTAATGGAAAAGTGACTTGGATCACTTGGTATTTCAATTCACGTTGAATTGGAAGTGGGACAAAACAGGCTTTTAGTGGCCGGGGTAGGTTACCTGTCAATTAAGTCATCGGTCTATTCACACTCGAGTGATTTTGGCATTTAGAGGCCGTTAATCTCCGTTCTCGGAGCAGAAAAGCGTTTGCCCGGGTATTGGGAATATTTTTCAAGTGGCATTGGTGGTGGGGACAGTGCCTCCGTTCCTCAGTGGTGAGAAAACGTGTGGAAAGCGACGCCCACTTGTTACCACTTGTTACCAATTGCTCTGAAATTTTCAGTGCTAAAAGATTAAAATTTTTATTAAAAGGCTCCCACTTTCATTTACTTCAAACGTGTCCATATATTTGAGCATAGCTCTCTTGTCACCCATATTGAGATAACAGGAGTTTCTGTTTATAACTTGAATCACGAGCTCACGTTTACAGTATTTAATTAGATTTATGATCAACTTATAAATACGACTCGATATCTTTCAATGTTAAGCTAGTCTGGATAAATATTTTAAGATTTGTATTCTGTGTGTTGTGGACATCTACGAATAAAATCAAATAGAGTTTTCTAACGCATCTATTTAACGTGGGCGTTGAAGCTGAAGGGTGAACGGACGACTGGCAGGTCTGCGACAGTCAACGAATTAGCAATATACTGTGACATCACATTCATTTACCAATTTATTTGATATATACTCAAAAACAGGAGTAAATTTTCAAAACAATCTGTGTAATTGTACTTTCCATACTACTCAGCAGTATTCGCGTACTTTTTTTGCGAAAACTGCGAGGCACTTTCGCATTTTTTAAGAAACCGCGAAATCGCCATTTTTTTAACTACAAAAATTTAAATTTGACAATGAGAGAGAGAGAATTTATTGCTTTCGTCAAACCAGACAAGATAATTTGCGCGAGAGTATAGAGTTGACAAATAAGCTGCATGCGAGTATTATTCTAACACAAATATGCATTACATAACGATATTTGCGGAAATTATAAGCTATGTCAGGGTGGTCCAAACTGAACAATTTTAGCGTACACTACTAAACCATTGGCAGATACTTGTATAAGTATAAGATATTTGTTAGTAATAAATTCATCATACAATGAGTGCAGAAAAAAGGTGACCGAAGTAAACTGATAGTAAACGTAGTTTATAGTTTCGTTGAAAAATTGATTTGAACGATAAACTCTCATTCTCGTTAAATATATCTAAAGTGAGTCAACTCGCGATGTTTTGATCACTTTTGGGTTTTCTCCGACTGCGGCCCACGAGACCTCCTCAAAGTTTTTGCGGCACGCCAACCTCTCAACCTTGGACCACCCCGAGCTATGCGTTGCAAACATGGGAGAAAAGCTTTCGCATTAACGGCAAAATTTATGTTTATAGTGTGATTTTTAATATATAAACGATCCCACTTCTCCCGCAAAAACGCTCGACGGCGCCGACGAGTTGTTGGAATACGACACCGTGAGTTTCTATGAACGAGAGTGGCCATGTGAGAAAAGTGCACGATTTGCTAGTGTGGAAATATTTGAAAATATATAGATCGGAAGCGAAAGTTCGTCAGGACCTAGTTTCTTTCTTAGTTAATTTATTGCCAGAAAGTTTTGATACCCGACAGGACATTATTCGGTAATGGAATGAATGGCATTCTCGGGAATTTTGCATAATATAATGTTATTTACTGATTTACAATAAATCGAACTCAGGCCAGGGCAAAAAATTGAGAATATTTGTGAGCTAGAGATGATTGATCGAATACACAGAAAGTATTTATCATCTCACTAGCCAACATTCGTGTTTTGGCGGAATTTTATGATCATATTGTCTGCCTTAAAAAATAACTTTTTAGTGAACGTTTATTTTACTTTTATGTAATAATTATGCTATGTTGGGTTTGAATTTATTTTGAATTCGGAACTGTCGGGAATGCTCAAACAAGTGTAATCGAGTATTCAACTTAACAAATCGAAAATAGAATGAAGCTCGTTTCCGCGCCTAACCCCCGTTTTGATTTTTTTTGGATATGCGTGTTCTACATTCTGCTCAGAATAAACAACGCCGTTTTACAGTCATGTCAAAACTTTTTTTGTTCTTTATGACAGTGGTCGGCAACCACCGCGAGCTAATTTGTTGCGGTCCTTGAACGACCCGACATTTAATAAATAAAACAAAAATTAATCCCAAATTTATTATTGTCTATACACGGATTTATGTGTGTGGTGACAAGTGCTGCTGTACGGAACTTTTTATGTAACAACTAACAAGTAGCGTCAGTTGTATGTCGTTCGAGTTAATTTTCATTTTTAAAATTTGAAAATGTCTGAGGCGACGCGGGTCGAGTATTCCAAAGTACCTGAACGAAAAAATATTTTTCTTTCTTGCGCATTTCAAAACCGGTTTGCTCGATATGCCCAGTCAGCATCGCAGTTGTTAAGGGTTTCAATGTTGAACTCGTTACGAAACGAGTCGTCGAAAATTCGACCCCGAGACCCGGGACTGCGCCACAGCTCATCTGTGCGACAGTGCAAAACGTGTAATGTGCAAGAACATATGGCCTTGAGCAGCTTTATCTAAAATGCATTACACTTAGGTTAAATTTCGTACTCGCTTGTCAGATCATCATTTGGACGGCGAGTTGCTATAAAAACATCATCTTTCACATTGATAATAAGTACATAAAAACAATGTATTGTTGGATAATAATAAAAAAACGCCACATATACATCTCATTGGGATAGGCTTTCGACACAGCAATAGAAGGGTAGCAATGCGAAAGCGCCATAATTTGAAGTTTAATTATGGTAGCGATTGTTTGAAGGCGGAAATATTGCGGCCCGCGCTACCGGAAATGTTTATATTTGGCCCGCAAGTACATGAAATTTGCTGACCACTGCATAAAACTATTGAGCAACATGTCTGATTTCATAAACAATTGCCATGTCAGTATGTCGCAATAATACTGAGTCAATTGTTTTGTCTGTGCCCGTACAAGAATGTCTCTTATCAGTCCGACTAAGATTTCCCCAACAAAACGATACAGGCATTGTTAACTTTCCCGAAATCATATTGTGAGGCCTGGTTTTCAATATTGATAACTACAAAAACGAAATATCGAAATAGGCTGGAAGTAAGAAACACGTTACGTTTGTCAATGTCGACCATATCTCGAATATGGGAACAGTTAATGGCCATCAAACAAATACAGACATCACATTAAATAGCATCACCGTCGTTGTTAGTATATTGTCAACAAAAATTTTCTAAAGCGTATAATTTATTGCATAGGCTTAGTTCGTTTGTATAAAGGTGGTCCGACAAAAGTTTGGTCAAGCTTTACCGGTCCGTCACTTGAAAAAGGTTGTCGACCAACCACTGCTTTATGGCATCGCCTTAGCGTAATGTATTACCGACAGAATATTAATCGTGTTTTTAGATATTTCTGTTAGTTGGCGATGATAACGACGCTAATTTCCGTATATAAAAGGGGTATCGGAAATATTATTCAGCATTAAATAATAAACAAAATTATTTAATGATCATTATATTTTAATGAATAATTTCTAATCGAATCGAAGGAATGTTGCCTGAAAATATATCACATAACTAGGCTATATTTATTTTTCGGTCAACGTAAACCCGCAATAATAACGATTGCCAAATCAGCAAAGAAACGAATGTAAATTGTCGATCGTGATCCAACGAGTGAGAGGGCTCACTTTCTTCTCTCTGTTCAATTAAAACAGACATTTAACCATGTCGCCGAAAGAAGTTACGTGTTGTTTTTCTTTGGTCGCTCAAAATGAGTTTTGCATGCACGTAGAAGAGGTTTCTCAACTTCACAAACGCAGTACGCAATCACTATTAATAATACGAGTCACGGGGTCAGGAGGCACGGAAAAAGAAATTTGATTCGATTAACATTGAAATACACAAATAAGAGTTTTACATTTTATGCACATCTAACCGATGCTACATGTGAGATTCCTGCACATGAACGAGTAACGGATGTATGATATCTGAGAATCGTAATTCTCTTTTAACATCAATTTCCAGGATTTTATCGTTCATGCGCATATGAAATAATTTTTCTAGGAAATGGATTGATATTTCGCGACACATACAAAATTAGTTGGGGACCACTAGAGTTAGACCATTCGTTTATTTTTTATATTCATGGTTTTTCGAGATTTATCCAAGTTGTATTTTGTGTACGTTCGCATAAGAAAACTCATACCCCCAATGTGGGTACCAAAAGCAGAATTACTTACTATCTGCGATTAGAAGTACTGTCACTATATGAAAATGGGTAGTGAATAAATGTACAAAAAAAAAACTCATTATAAAACTCAACATTATAAAACTGCCAGTGTCGGGCACGGGAGTCATTTAAAGGCCAAATATAGTCGTAGGTAGTGTATATATGCATGTTGTATTTCTCGTTCATTTTGTATTGTGTGTGTAACACAAAACGGATTACAGAATTGTTTGATTTAGCGTGTGACAGAGTAACCAATTTATAATTTTTTTTGTGTTTGCTTTATGTTCTTGACCAAGTGGTTTAAACCGTTGGCTGTAGCTGAATAATATGTTCATCGAATCTGTTCGAAAGAAAACTGCTGTTCCCATGGTGTTAGTACGGGTATGCATTTTCGGTTTCGAATGTCAAACTTTGCCAAGTGCAGTTTTAAGTATTCTGTGGCGTCTGCAGCTGCCGCAAAACCAATGGCGGTATTTCCATACCATGGCCGCTACGGCCAAACCTATGGCGACTGAATTTTTAGCTGCCACAAACCAATGACGAGCTGCCGTTACCGCGGCAGCAAATTGAAAACCAATGGCAGGTAAAATTAAAGACAGGGCCCGTAAAGACAGGGCTATCCCTTATTGTGACAAATATCGGGTAAGTTGGAACGTTTTTTCTTGTGGATACAGTTTTGATGAGCTTGGGGTTAGGGTTTAATTAGATATAATTCCACATGATCAATTAAAATCTGGTACATTAATTTGTGAATATACCATTAATACTGATTACTGAATAGCGCTATAAAACCATGGCAAGAGCTGCCGCGGTTCTTTCGTGGCAGGAGCTGCCATGAAGTGGTAATAACTGCGCCTCAACTTTGCAGTTACATAAAGAAAGTGCGTATGCCAAATGTGCATAATGTGGTTATTTAAAAACATGGGTTTATTTCGTTCTGATAAACTAGATTAAAAGGGGAAGGGTTTGATGAACATCGTGTCCTTCTGTTCAACTTCAACTTCTGTTAACCAAATACGGTTATTGTTTTAGTATTCATATTGTTAAATGGGTCTCAAAAAATTCCATCCGAATATTTTCGGTGCCAGTGAACCCTTTGCACTTCGCATTAACTTTTCTGCGTTTCGCCTAATTATAATTAAATTATGGGCTCATTAAACGAGTGATTGTGAATTTTATACTTGTTAGAATATAATATATATAATTCAGTTTTTGTGGATCCATTTAAAAAAAAAATATATATATAATTCAGTCTACACTTGTCTCACCATAAATTCTGTTACGTAAAAAATATTATCGTCAAAACAGCTGTTTTGTTAGTATAATTTAGTGAAGCGTCCCGGGTCGGATTATATTACTTCGCGGGCTGGATCCGGCCCGCAGGTTGCCGACCCTGGTGTACCCCTATAAGCGTAGATCATACACTACAGCCTACATAATATTTCAGAATGTTCCATTTCGGACAAGACAAACTGTTTGAGAAGACAAATTTCCTATTCCGGTAGGTCTAGAAATATGTGAAATGCAGAAATCGAACTTGTCTCAATGACAACAAGTTAACATTTGCTATTTATTGGTCATATATTTTAAATCAAATATTAGCAAATTGAAAATAGAATATAAGAGGTGGATACAATAAAAAGGCTAAAAAATAAATTGCTTAAAATTATGTAATGTCATCAAATGAGAGAAAATTGCTAACAAACATAATTATGTTGAACTTTGGTAAAGAGAGCAGTTCATTATTTTAAACAGGCGTAGTTTGTTGCTCCAACCACTTGAGGGTTTCTGTATGTCCCTGAGATTTCAGCTCACGACCAACAATTTCAAGGCACCTCGCATGATAATCATTTAACCATTGAATTTCATCGCCAGATAAGAGCTCTTTCTTGATCATTTTTTTCTGGATCGGAACATAGGCGATGGGCTCAAATTTGAAGAACTTCTTTCCAGCGAAATTGTACGCAGTTTGGGCATTTGTGCATAGAAGGGCATTTTCAATCCTGATCCCAAATTTTCCATTTTCATAATATCCTGGTTCGTCAGTGATGATCATTCCAGGAGCTAACTCTGTTTCACTGGCAACCTGTACTACCCTGCTGCTGTTGCCAATATATATTCCTACAGGACCTTCGTGGACGTTGAGAAAAGTCCCAACTCCATGTCCTGTCCCGTGCATGTAGTCCAATCCCGCTTTCCAGAGATGCATCCTTGCCAAAGTATCAAGCATGTAGCCTTTTGTTCCAGCAGGGAATACTATAAGTGCTAAGGCAATATGGCCTTTCAATACCCTTGTAAAGCATTCTTTTTCATACTCTGATGGATTTCCAAAGTGTACCGTTCTGGTGGTATCAGTTGTACCATCCAAGTACTGTGCTCCTGAATCACAGAGGTAGATTTCAGATGCTGTTACTGGTCTATCAGCATCTTCGCTCGGCGTATAGTGAATGATCGATCCAGTTGACCCAGAACTAGATATTGTGCCAAAACTGAGACTGACAAATTTATCTTGCTGCTGACGGAAGTGAAGGGATTTTTTCGCAGCCGAACATTCAGTTACACCACCTTTCACGACCTCAGTTTCAAGCCAGTGTAGATACTGACATAGAGCAACAGCGTCTCTAACATTTGCAGCCTTCATACCTTTAATCTCCCTCATATTCTTTATTGCTTTCATTAAAGCAACTGGACTATTAGCTGCCATGACCCTGTGGTTTTCATTGATTGAAGAGACAATTGCATAGCTTGAACCACTGGTTAGCCAGACATCAGCAGTTGCGCAATGCTGCTGAATAAATTCCAAAGCAAAGTCGTAATCATGAACATTGATTTTAACTTGGGAGTTAAGATGAGTGGAAACTTTTTCGGTAACAAGGTTTTTATCGATGAAAACTTCTACAGAGGATTCTCCAATTATCAAATAAGCAAAGAAAACTGGATTAAACTCAACATCAGAACCTCTCATATTTAAAACCCAAGCGATGTCATCAAGCGCTGTGAGAATGAGCCACTTTGTAGAATTCTGCAGCATTTTATCGCGCAGGGATGCAATTTTTTCTCCCATTGACATACCAGTTGTCTCGTCATCCAATAAAATCAGAGCATTGTACGGCTTCACAGGCTTATCTTTCCATATTGCATCAACGACATCACTCTTCGTTGCTAAGAGAGAATGACCTTTCACCTGTAACTTCTTTTTCATGGCATTCCAGCTTCTGTTTGCATACAATAATGGATTGACACCAACGTTTGATTTGGGTGGCAGTGTTGAATTCAACCAATCTTCAATTGATGGAGTTTCTTTCACTCCAATCCTCATTAACATCCAACTATTATCAAGTTCTCTCTCTGCTTGAAGAAAGTATCTCCCATCTGTCCATAAAGCTGCTTTCTCTTGCGTAATGACCGCAGTTCCAGCAGAGCCTGGATTTGAGAAAATTAAAATTATTGTGTTAACAAAACCTCAGTGAGAATTTGATATAGACCTTAATACAAAAGGGGGGTGCCATACTTTGATTATAGCAAAATTATAATACACCTTTTTGCTAACTTTATATCAAACGAAACAAGTCTGATGGTACATGGTGCAAGATTGGTCTTGTATAACTAATTTAGAAACTTCATACAGAGAAAAAGAGAGAAAATAGACTATATAAGGACCATAAAATAACAATGTACAGTTTAATATCCTAGAAATATACACAGTGAGTAAAATAATAAACAAAATATATTGGGACAAGATATTGAATTTAGGCCGTTAATATCTAGATATTTCATGAAATAGTTCATAAACATATATAAAGTATCACAATTAAATTGTAATACTAGTAACACCTGTAAATCCTGACACAAAATTTCTTCTTAAATCGCATGGAGCAAGATATTCACTCTGATGTGCATCTGATGATGGAATGATGATTGCTTCCAGTGGAGCAGAAGAGCATTCTCCACTGATCATCACCCTTCTTATATTTTGTAAAATTTGTGTTGTATCTTTCACTTTCATTTTGGATTTTATTTATATGAACATGTAATTAGAACTGAGAAAGCAATCAAATAGAGATTAATCAATTGAGAAATCATATCAGTCTTGCTACGCTCATCCCTATCTTTGTTACTTACTGTGAGATGACAAAATAGATTTCACCAAATTTAAAAATTGTTAAACTGAAGCTGTGAGATTTTATAATTGATAAATTTATGTGAAAATTTTATGATCAGTAAATTATGTAAAAAACCTTAAAAAGCTCGCCACTAAGAAATATCAACTACTCAATTTGCTTTATTATTAATCTGACCCTCATTTTTCAATACCTACATTTACTCTATGAGGCGTTGAAATTGTTCCGTATGCAATGAATAGACATAAGTACACATCAATAAAATGTAAGCTAAATTTGATTTTTGTGTTTGACTAGATAACAAAAGGTTTACACACATATGCTATAGCTGCATAGAGAACTAAGTTTGCAGTTTAATCATTAACTACCAAATACTGAAATAAGTATACGGTAACTGCAAGACACTAATAGTACAAAACCAATAGTAGCCTACCAGCCAGTGAGAATTTATAGCATGGTGAACTAAAATATCACAAATTTAAATATTGAAAGAGATATTCATTTACAGGCAAACTCTTTCAGTCTTTATTCAGTTATTCGGTTTTATTTTCATTTGTGCTTTTTGAAACACAGTCATCCAAGCTTTTGCTGTCAGTGTAGCCTACCTCAAGTACAACTTCTGAACTTAGTTAATCCTGGCTGTAATCCCATCAATCACAATCTGCAAATCATTAAAATGGTACGGTCTGACGGTAGATATTAATTAAACAGAGATTTGGAAGAGCAACATCACAACCAACGACTAACGGGTCTCGTGTAGTTTCGTACCTAACGTACTTCTAGTAGGCATAGCATAAAAATTTTTTGATATGTCAATCCTAACCCCAATCTGACTACGCCATCCAAAAATTACGTCACTACGACATTACAATCACGTCATAGAGCTTGCCAAATATACGTACGATCGCCCGAAATGGCATTGGCGACGACGATAAAGAACTGACTGACGTTATCGATCTCTCTCCTATTGGAATCGTTGCGACGAGAAAACGAGAGATGGTTCGAATGTTAATGAATTTTCACTATTATTGAACATTACTCAACAATTAACAGTTTCATCTATATATACGTAATTATAACGTCAATTGCGATTAGTGAAAGAACAAATTGCATTGGCGGACAATTATTAACGACTATTGTTGAATTGAGATACTCGTACGTTATTATTTAAGACGAAATATGAGTTACAAATATTTTATTTAAACATTGAAACAATAAAGCTCTCGCCCGTTTGCGCGCTCTAGATATCCCGCTGGCACTGGAACCCAACCTATCGGCGCATGGCTGAAACCTGTACCCGCGACATGATATCAACATTAGAACGAGTTAAATAAGACATTGTTTATCAGTGGAAACATACAGTAACAGTAACAAGAAAAGAGTAATTTTAAAACTAATTACGAAGGCATGATTAAATGAAAAGAGGCACAAAAAGGCAACCAGAGTAAAAGCAACGCACGAATATTTACTCTATTAAAATAAAATCGTGCATTTGAGTGAATTATTTTCTTCATATCCTGCTCATATTGGACTTTGCACAAATTCTCTCTCACTGTTGTTTTTGATGTCTGAAGAAATAAGCTGCTTCATTTCAATTTCATCATTCTGTTCAGAGCGTGTTCTATTTGTTTCTAAAAATATTTCATGTCTTCGTCACAATGCACATTCAAGTCATGCTATTGTACTCATGATTTGGAAATCACTATAACACATCATTTTCTCATTTACAGGGTGACTCAAAAAAATGAACCTTGGTCATTTGAGTATATTTGTGATAGTTTTTGTGCAAAGCGTACTAGATTACTGAAGATTTGGATAAAATCATACACAAACGTTGAAGCGAAAAATAAAATTTCTTCATTTTAATATGAGTAATTGAAAAAATTTGTTCGTTCTGTTTTTTTTTGTCACCATTTTACATTTTTATTGGTTGAGGTGTAAGGTTTGTTTGTGTCATAAAAAACATGGATTGAACCGTTAGAAATCTGTTTTTGTCTTATCAAACATGGATTAATGCACTTTTTACAAGCATTTTTTTGCATTCTCTCCGAACAAATCTCTCCAAATGAGCAGCCACTGCTAAGTAAAGAGCTATTCTTTAGTATGAAAAAACTGATTTTTTCCAGTTCAACATTATAGATGCTTAAGGTTTATTGGGAGAGTTTAACCTGTGATGACATCATAGCTAAGTTTAACGCTCCAATCACAAAGAGCAGAGAATATATAAACCACATCAACAGTTTCAGTCGTACAGTCAAAATGTATTTACTTGCTTTATTTTGCTTTTTCCGTGGTTTCTCTCCACTCATGCTTTTCGAATGTGTAAAGACACTGAAGCTAATGAAAACAGAAATGAAAAGTAAGGAGGACGTGGCCTTTCGATATATATTACCGACTACAGGTTTGGATCACTTTAGAAATTGCCGAAACAAGACGAATACAAATGTACTATTAGGATTCTACTGATTTCTAACAATAGATGTTTCTACGAGCCGAGTATACTCCTTAAAACTTCGGTAACAAAAAATTAGGAACTGTAAAAGTAATGGAATTCAGATTACCTGGTGCTCCTACTGCATTTCCCGGGCCCACTTTCGTCAATGAAAGTAATTTCTTCCATTGTTTTATCTTCGGTATTGCATTCTTCTACACAAAAGAAAAGAAATACGTTAATTAAATGGGAAATATTTGAATTCAACCCAAAAAACCTTATTCTTATAATTATTATAATTAGATTATTATATTTGTTAGGATATTACCTTCGATTTTTGGTTTCATGTCGCCACTGTTGGGCGGGGATAATTTAGCATCGAATATTTCTGTGACGTTTTGAGCTTCTCTTGTAGAACTTGATATGTTATAGGATTTTGATTTTGCTATAGTGTTTCCCCTGCACGAATCTTTACGCATTTCACCTGCAAACATTATATTTTAAGAGAATGTCATGAAATTCATACTGGAATTCAAATTCTGAAATATTTTAATATGAAGATAAGAGCTAATATTTTGCTAAAAAATTAGATGATAAACAAAATAGATAGATGTATATATATATATATAATACTAGGACTTAGTTAGAATAACACCGAATCATTTGGTGCCTTGAGACAACCAAAGAAATTAAACTCATTTTGGCTAAATTTACATATAAATGATGAGAAAAATTAAATGTATTTGTTAGATTATTACCTTTTCCTGATTTTATGTCGCCACTGCTGGATGAAGGCATTTTAGCGACGACGTCTGCAGTGACGTTTTGAGCTTGTCTTGTAGAATTGGGGAAATCATGATATTTTGGTCTTGTTTCTAATGCATCCTCAGAATTCTCACCTGATATTCAGTTGAAATAAACAGCTGTTATTAATACCATTGTCCGTAATACATAATGGAATGTATCACCATTGTACCGAATGTTATGTATCATGGATAAGTTAATTTCAAATAATAATGCTTTAGAGACCGCCACCAACAGATTTCACGGGTCGCTTATCTTTGGCAAAAAGTCATGGACTAGCAAGAGACGGAGACTGGATGGCAAACACCATCTACATTGGCGTTTTCAGACAACAACAAAAATGATGTTTATCGTGTTAAAATTTTTGAAAATATTTGAAAATGCTCTTGTACCACATTCCCTACAAGAGCCAATGTCAAAAAATGTGTTTTGTTTATGTCACTATATTTTTCACACGTGCGATAGGCTTTAAACTGAAGGTCTCACACGCCTCTCATTTTTCATTTCTTTATCATATTACTCTTACAGCGCGAATCTCCAGATTTTTGTTTTTATATATTTTCATCTCAAGTCCCTTACAATTACTCTCACTATTGCGCCGCAGTGTAAATACGCCAGTAAAGGCTTATCCCCGTGTTTGAGTTGTATATATATGCGATTGTAATCCGAATTATAAGATTATTATAATAAAGAAATGTGAAGAAGAGTGAGGAGCATGTGGGATGAAATCTAATAGAGATAATACTTATAGAGAGATGTTCAGTTATTAAAAACCCCTCGCACGCTTGTAAAATGAAGTGGCATAGACAATTTTTTTACATCGGCGTGAGTCTTGCAGCCAGTTTGTTTTTATATTTTTATCTCAATTCCCCTGCAATTACTCAATAATCAATGAGTTCATGGCTCGGAAATTTGTACAGATTGTATGAACTGTCGTCTTCATTTAGCTTTGAGCATAAACATAGTTATGTAGTATACTAGTATGATCGGTTTCTTATTATAAATCATTTTACCGTCATTCTATATCGGTAATATGGCTCGGGTTCCAAATAACGACTGCCAGAACAGCGACTGTCAATAGAGCGACCACACGACAGCGATTCATAACAGCGACTGTCAATAGATGCCCGCTTTACTCCCCCTACCGTACAAAAACGACCAAGCAAGATACTCTTCGGGATACGCAGAACAGTCTCAGCCGCAACTTGTATCATTAAGCTCATTTGGAAGCTCAATGAATAAATAAAATATCGATACAGTGTGCAATTATCTTAATATTGCTGATTTTTAAAATATATAAAGTAAATCAAGTAATCTCTTTGATTTCTGATATTGTGTTTTCTATGTGGGATGATGACACATCACCTGGGATTTCTGTTGACTGCCTATAAGAACTTTCAATGTCGTGAGACTTTGTTACGGCATTTACTTCATCTTCACGCGCACCTGCAAAGTGCAAACATTCAGCTAAACTGAAGTTTTGGAAATCCGTTCGAAAACCGACACACATTCGACAAATTTTGAATAATTATAATGTTCAAACAGAATACATTGTCGATGTCGGTGTATTCTAATAATGAGTCCTTGTATTGGTGGGATTTGGATTCTAAAAATTGGAATATTCTAATATAAAAATAACAACTTATATTTAAAAATACTTAGGTTTTTATCAAAGATAGTTAGATGCAGGTTATATAACATATAGTGGGATTTATTTAGAATATAACTGAGCCATTTCATGCATTGGCACCAACAGTATATTTTCCTATTCTTTTTTCTGATAGAAAGTAGCCCACCGAAAGGGACTTTGGTATTTGTGTAAATTACTGATTTGGTTTTGTAATGGCAATAATGCATATGGCCTATATATTTTGCCACCTCCATAAACAAATAATAACATTGCAAATAGAGTACTTTTTTAATAATTGTTTTTTTTTACTTTCCTCACCTTCATTGCAAGAAATCTGAACCTTTCGGCTTACTTCTTCAGTAATATATGTTAACGATGCATTTCTCAATAACTCAATAAAGTGTTCAACAGTTGCATTCTTGCCTTGTTTTTCTTTCCAAATGTTGAGACATTGTAGTACAAAATGCGTAGTGTCTCCTTCAAATGTCCAGCATAAATTATTTAAAAATTGACTTAACTTTATGGGTATATATATATATATATGATTTCAGTATAATTATTTGTAATCACCATGTTATCGTCCAAAATGAGATGTAAAGTGGTGATTTATAGAAAAGGGCACTTTGTTGAGCACGACTATCTATTAGATTAGATAACAAATATAATGTCAGACCAAGTACCGAGCGGCGAAATGGCAGTAGACTTGGTGTGAAAGTGAAGCAGTGTATGGTTTTGTCATTTTCACTGATTGTGATTGGTTATTTAAAAATCACAATAATGCACATGGTTTAACAAATACTAACATTTCAAATTGATTACTTCATCAATAATTGTTTTTTACTTTTCGTACCTTCATTGCAGAAAATCTGGACCTTTCGGCTTACTTCCTCAGCAATATATGTTAACGATGCATTTTTCAATAACTTCACGAAGTGTTCAACAGTTGCATTTTTGCCTTGTTTCTGTTTCCAAGTTTTGAGACATTGTAGCACAAAATGCGTAGTGCCACCTTCAAATGTTCGGCATAATTTGTTTTAAATTGACTTAATTTCAAGGATATATATGTATGAGTTCAGTATAAGCATTCTTAATCAGTATGTTATCGTCCATTATGTTATTGTGAGATTTAAAGTGGTGACTTTAGAACAGTGTTTCCCAACCCGAGTCCGCGGCCTCAAATGAGTCCGCAGAGCGTTTGCCAGAAATTAACTATTTGCCGCACGTGCCAGAAATTAACTATCAGCCAAGTTACGATTTACGTTAGAATTTACATAAAACATAAAAAGCAAGTTATTCACATAACATTAATCGAGTCAATAATTACTGGTTACTGAGTAGGACTAGGCATATATTTGAATATTCAACTATTAGAATAGCAATTTACTATTGGAATCTTTAGTAACATGTGACGCAACGGGTCACTTGCGCGTCGCCTAATCAAACGATTTGATTTCACAACTCACTTGCGGATTTCCGACCAAAACACGACGGCACACGCGTCTATAGGTACCTAGGTGTTTTTTTCTCGCGAATTCAAACAACGAAGAATAAATATTTTTTTCTGGCAGATGTCAATGGTGGCAACCACAATTTTTCTAAATTGAAAAGCGGCAATACAAAATACTAAAAATAAAACGAGAATAAGTTTTGTTTTATGATGGCCCGCGACTAATTAAAAACGGGTTTTTAGACATGCAAATCTCAAAATTTCAGGGGCTACGTACTATACGAACCAGGGCATTATCCCTTAAGATTCTTTGTACATTGGTACGTACATTACTAAAGTGCCGTAAGTGTTGTACAAACGGCTCAGATTTGTCGAATTGACAAGAATACGAATCAGAAGAAAATATAATCGGGCACTTCATCACACATTTTTGCTTCTACGGATTGTCATGATATTTTCTGAGTAGTATTGCTTTTATTTCGTTAACACAACCTCAGATTGAAATGATCACAATTAAATTAATAACAAGCAAGGCGATGAATGTATATTTTTGATTTACTAATATACTTTAAATATATTTTCAATAAGTACTGAATCAAGTTGTACTTTCTGGAAATGTATAGCAGATGCTTTCATCTTGTCGTAAGTAAAGACACAACCGCGTGTTGAACACTATTAAATTAAAATGAAGAGAATTTTAAATTTCTCGTCGTTATCGTGTATTGAATATTGTGCGACAGTGAAGGCCATTATACACTAAAAAAGTCGGCTCCTTTAACGAACGCGTAATTGCGGCGAATTTCCGATTTTGAAATTCGTTAAACTCCTCATGTGTTTGGTGTTATTGCTTCTTCGCACATAGTACGGTTGCAATAAACGCACCTTGAGTCCGTAAAGGTTTTCGCCGGTGAAAAAATAGTTCGCGACCAAAAAAGGTTGGGAAACGCTGCTTTAGAACTTTATTGAACACTACTATTTATAAGATCTAAATATAATGATAAACACCGAATACCAAGCGGAGAAATGGCAGTAAGCTAGCTGTGAAAGTGAATAATTGAATGGTTTTGCTATTTTCGCTGATAATAGTCCGTTTTTTGGCTAACCAACATTTTTTTTATCGAAATTTGACTTAGTAACAGAGGTATAGAGACACAGGTAGAACCAGATTAATTTCATTTGAACGTTAACAATTGGCGCCACTTAAAGTTTATATGGAAGGAGTTAAGGCAAGAAATTGTTGTATTTGATTTTCGATATTATAAATTCCCAATTGTACCGTAATAATAAGTAAACTTCACAATAAATTTTTTGATGTCTTCCAACATTATGTCAAGTTTATCTTCGACAATTGTTTGTGGTGAAAATATCAACTTATAATAGAATAAATTAAATAAAATAACTTTTTTTATAAACGTTTTAGTTGATGAGTTTTTTCTATACTTCCGGAGTGAGTGTACCAGATTAGGGTTAGGTCATAATTTGATTCTGGTTTTCCTTATTTTAGTTCTATTACAAGTTCGGGGACTGTTTGTGTTAGCCAAGTGAATATACCCCCTGCCCATAGATATCAGACCCTTCACACAACTTGATGTGAAGTAGGCGAACAAAATTAGTTACCGGCACCTCCATAATGGTACACACACTTCCGGAGTGCCTCTTTTCAATGTAACCAATTGTTCATTTGTCTTGGGATAATTATTTTCACCAATGCAATGATATTTACATTAATTATTTCTTTTAGACATAAATACTGATAGTTGTTGCGACGTTGATATTTTACTGAAGTCTCGATTAAATCTTTTGGATTTTATGCACAAATTAACGTTCATACTTTTTTGCAAGTCTGGAATTTCCCTTTCCTCCAATTCCAATTGAATTCGGAAAAATTCCACGGCATGCTTAATATCTTCGATTTCCCCTTCAAAAATTTTGAACGCTGTGTTTTAAATAAAACCATTACAAATGGTATATACAGAGACAATGGTTTTACTGAAATGCACTCATCAAAAGAAGATATTACCTTTATCCAAAGAATCAAAAGCTGAAAAACCTGTTAGAAATATTAGAATTTGTAATTATTATAGCTTATCGGAGAACTTCCGATTGTGGTGCACGTTTCATCAAGAGGTTTAACGTTCAAACGGAAAAAGTTGAATAGCGGGGAATGCAAATAATTAAATTGTGCAGATATTGCGTATTAAAAGCATGTTTATTATTTAAAAATCATGTTCATCGAACTGTAAAACAATTCAGCATGAATAGTTGGTATTTTGAATTTGAACAAACAACAGTTTACCAACTGATAATTATTCATTAATTGAGAAGCATCAAACTCGATAGAAACTTTATCATTGAATACAATTTGTTGGGAACGTAACGTTTCCAATGTAAAATGGAATGTAAAAACTGAAATACAATAGCATTACTGATATATATACTTTATTTACGTGAAATAAACTAATTTGTTTAATTATTTTTCTTTCTGTTTACATGCTACATTTTGTTTTACCTGTATTGAAAACGATACGTAATTCGTCCTCAATTTCATGTACAATATCGTTTCTGCCAATCCGGCGCAACTTTTTGATAAGTAATTCTACAGTGGCCTCTTTGCCGTTTACTTCTTTCCACTTGGCAAATCCAGCACGAATCTGCCCCGATGACGTGCTTACTAAAAATGCGTATTCATATTTTATAAACGCTGGATAATCACTTCGTAAATTTGATCAACCACGGAGGCATAAATCATAATCCGTTATGCTTAGTACACAAATACCCTTTCATAGAGTGCTAATGTACGATATAATATGAAGTTAATAATATCATCAGAATTAAATTGGACTGAAATAGCGGACAACACAAAGTTGTAATCCCTAAAACTTTAAAACGAAGAAAACACATATTGGAAAAAGCATATACGCTGATTTTGTATGCGATGTATATTCGAAAAATAGTAACATACTCCTATAATGTAAGAACGCTGTAGCCAGAACACAAAGGTGATAATACCAAGTTCAGCTAGGCTGCACATGACCATAGCTGCAGTTCCGTAGCGTCCCGGCTTTCTGTAGATATGCCAACTGAGGAAACACGTTTGCGTTAGGGTGAATTAGGACTCATGATATCACATTACCTTTGACTTATCGTATTTACTAAACATAAATAAAATTGACATGAAGTTTTCGAAACGGTAATAGTTGGTTTACTGGCTTGACTTTTAAATGTAGAAGCAAAGCAACCTTGAATCTATACAAATAGTCGTATCAATATATGAACCAGAAAGAACAAACCTTCGTGTTCTATTTTTTCACATTCTTCAAAAGGCAGACAAAATACATGTGTGTTGAATTCCACAACATTTGTTCTAACGTTTTTGTCTAAAATCTGAAATGCTGGATGAAAATAACATTACTTCATTTTTGAATGCGACAGGTTAGGCTAGGTTTTTGTTTATGAATAATACTTTAATATCTTTATTAAAATGTAAATTTCCATTTAATAACAAGTTGCCCATGAAATATTACTCTAACTTTGAGATCACCTTTGAGACTATGCAAGCTGTTCCACCTAAACCCCCGTTACTTCCCCATTCTGCTGGTCGGTTACGGTTTCCCCCACCATCAACATCAAGTCCATGCTTCCGAAAACAAACAATATAACTAATCCCATACCCGACCTGGACTGGTAACCGGACGAGAGGACGTGGTTCGCCATATGATTAAGCCGTCCTAACGGCTTTCCTCTTCCCCGGAATAAATATGTAAATCCCATCCTATATTCCGCAAACTAAAATCAATGCAAATATGCCACCAAAAATTTACAGCAGAAAGGCGGGGATAATTCAAGAAATTCTTCAGTTTGACGGTAATTTACGCTTGGAAATATCATAATGTTTTGTATAACAATAAACAAAATTTACCAGTACCTCTGTCTAAATTGGATAAACCCTTTATTGCTGTGGATGGCAATCCAGCTGAAAATAGAAAAAATAATATGGCCTCACTTCATGTCTCATCTTGGTTAAATTAACTTTACAATCAATTCAAAAGCTCTCATATGTTAATTAAAGGCAAAAAAAGGCGACTACAAACAAAATACAATCTTAAATCAATTAAAAACATTTGCTATCTCCGTGTTTTTCGTTGATTAGTCTGAAACAATATACTGATACTGGAAACATAATTATTTTAAAAACATTATATTTGATTTCAAATATAATATATTTTCGATACTTTTTCTCGTTACTTACTTTCGCCAGTTTGTTCGATAGTGCTATCTTTATTTATGTCGTCAATATCGTCTGGAATCGCGGAGTTTTCTGATTGGACAGAGGGGGAAAACTCAAGTTCTGCAGAACCAAGTTCGACTGAATCTAATGCAGCATTCACTGCTTCATGCTGAGTAGACTTACTTGATTGTTTACGACACAATAGACAACCTGTTATACATAATACACATCTATTCCGGTAATTTTTCTGGTAAAATACTATAGAATCGTGTTTAAATTATTGAAATTTTGTCAAATATTTTCTGCGTTTTATAGAACCGATGGATACTTCGTCCAATATTTTTTGGTTACATTCGAATTGAATGGGAACACCCCCATTATTCCATCACGCTTGACCGCCTCCATCATGCCTTGTTCTTCTCAGAAAAATTGGGGCGCAGTCGAGTAAGTAAAAGATAAATGTGCTGGTATGAAATCCTAATCCTAATATATTCTGTTTCCTATTTTAACTTACCTATTGTTATGACAAATATGACATTTACAGATAATGAGATATAGAATGCTGCGCGATGCTTATCTAAATACAACATTAAAATGACTTAGTAAGCAAACTCAGTATATTTAAACCTTCAAGTACAATGAAGTTCAAACAATGTTATCTCATGAAAGAATAACCAAGCGAAACTATCTTTGCACTATGTACAAGGGGAATGTGTTTTGAAAGAACGAACTATAAGTTCATTATCAAAAATAATTTGTATCTGTATTTTTGTTGAACTGGGTTTCTGTGAGTCAAATATCGAGGAAATATAATGTTAATATATTTTTTTTTTCAATGCACTCCAGAAGTATGTTCACCAATATGGGGGTATTGCCAATTTTGTTCGCCTACTTTACATCAAGTTGTGTGAAGAGACTGAATCCTATTGATAGGGCGTATATTTACTTGGCTAACACAGACTTCGAAGACAGACAGTCTCCGAACTCATAATAGAGCTGAAATAAAAAAAATCAGAATAAAATTAGGGCCTTACCCATCACCTGGCACACACTCTACGGGGGTGCCTTCAATAGTATTTCAATACAGTACCAACCTTCAACTTCGAAGGGATTTACACATTGTCCGTTCACATCTATAGTTGAGCTGCTACACCCGCACTTAAAGAAATAAAGATTATTAGTAAACATATAATTTGATATAAAGATAATAATAAATAAAGCAAGTACAAATTTCATTTCCCCCATACAGTCTGTCAATTGCCATGCCTTCTAGAAGTGATGGCGAACAACTGACTCGCTCGCCGGTTACGAATCAGTGCAAAAATCTTACTAATATTTTAGTGATGAAAATTGATAATAAAACACTATGTATAATATCTACTATGACATATTGTAAGCTGTTACAATGTTTATGGCATAACAACTTGGTATAGGAATGGTTAAAATGACCCAAATCGCCATTTGAATAGTCTCCTCTGGCATATTGGGCTGTCCTTGAAAAGAAAGTCAAGTCAAGCAAAAGTAAGAAGAAAAAGGTCGAGAAATAAGAATTCGTAACCGAGTTTATATAAAAAAGACAGTGAGCCATACAATTCATCTGTTCATTTCTCGCAACTTGTCATGGACTCATGTTACCGAGATTCTTATCAGAAAGTGCAAGGGTCAACTAAAGGTAATAAAGAACAGGAACTTTACGTTACTTTGCCGTTTATTTTTTACACATACAATGCCGGTCAAAGAACAAAATTGTTTAGACTTGAATTAACAGGCTTGTCTATGGGAATGGGAATCCCATGGGAAACGTTCCATGAGATGGGACAGCATACATTTGTATTTCCCATGGAACACGGAAGCCGTATGATTTTAGAGGAAATGATGGTAAAACAACTTGTTATGGACTGCGTGTCCATATCTTCGAGCATAGCTCTCTTGTTAGTTATAAAGAGCAAAATATATTCAGCATTAACAATATACTTCGTGAATGGGGCTGATGGGCGCATGTATAATAGTTATGAATATAAAGTTAACAAAGTCCGTAAATTTCGTTGTTTTGCATGTCTCTTCGTACATGTTGTTCTATTTAGTAGACGCTAAACCGAAATTTAACAATTTTTATCGAATTTTATTCCATTGGGAATCCCATGGGATGGGATGGGACAGGCATAATTGCTATGGGAATGGGACATGAAAATATGTCCCATGGACAAGCCTGTGAATTAACGACTACAAAAATGTCAAATAACAATGAAGCAGGAGGGCAGTGACTTAAATGCGCTGAAAGACGATATAAAAAAAACAATACTCTTGGATTACAATTTCTTCCAAATTCTTTCTAAACCTCGAAATGATATTTCATCCAATATAAATGTATTTTTGTAATTGAGATGCATGCAAATCCATGTTTTCGTCACGATTTTATAAAATTGAGTATCCTATATCGCGTCAGTCCTGATATGCATGCATGATTAATACTCGAAACCACACAAATCATAAGACTCTCGGAAAAGATGCTCCAGCAAGTTTCTCATTGACTAATGACCCACAGTCTTCTTTTCCTTATAAAAATATAATTTTCGATCCATGGATGACAAAGGTGTGCCATACCTGCTCTATAGTATAACTATAAATGATCGAATAATTTCTGTTTGACCAAATCCAATGGCAAATTTGTCTTGTAATTTGTATTAGGTATCGTAGTATAAACACAATGATAGGCAGATAAATGAACAGTTAAAATTAAATTATACAAACCAATTTTGGACACGTTGATTCACCGGGATAAATTTCTTCTTTATTGTAAGCACATTCTTCATGCTTCTGGCACTTTTTGTCTTCATTCCATCTGTTTTTAAAATACGTATTTATTAATGTTGTAGCAAATCCCTTTGATAATTTCATTTGCAATATCACAATTTAACAATACACCACACCAAATGTTTTCACATTTATCGCAAGAAGAGCAAAGCCGATCAGACGTATTATAAAAATCGGAACATGTCGTCTTGTGAATATTCAATGTCAGGCATGGGAACCAAGTATTGTGTTACCGTTTTGAAAATTTTTTTGAAAAATCTGTGTAAACCTATCTAATATAAGATTCATATATGTATATATTGTAACATCGGTACTCCCGAAGTATGTGAACCAAGATGACGGACACCGGGACCTAGTATGTGTACCAGCCCAGGTTAGGTCATAATTTCAGGTACAAATACTAAGGAATACACTTGACTAGTCCCCGAACTCGTAATAGAAGTAAAATATGGAAAATTGGAAAAAATTTATTGTCTAACTCTAACCTGGTACACATACTCCTTTCCGGTGTCCGCCATCTTGGTTCACATACTTCGGGAGTACTGAAACATCATGGATAAGTAATTTGCAAAATCAAAACTAACCTACTCGTGAATGTTCCATGTCCACATTGTCGACATTGCGGGTATCCAGGTTGATCAAAAATACCATTCTCGCAATGTTTCACCAAATGGTAGCCTGGGGGGCATAGGTAGCATAGTGAACTGCTGTTTTGGCTTTTGAAATGGTACGTTGGCCACTTTTGTTGTACCTCAGCATCACACAACATACAAATAAGATATGGTGGCAACAGAAACAATAACTGTTTAGGAGTCATAGCATCGTCAAAAATTCGGGCTTCAAATCATATCTAATATGATATCAAATCATATTTGGGTCTCATATCATATCTATGTCGAATAAAATGTGCAATGAACAATGCTTTTAAAAAGCAATTACCAGAATCATTAACTGGGCGTCGCTGTTTAACAAACGCTAACTTAGCCATGCCGTCATTATCAGTTAATTAATTCAGTTTATTCTATACTCCCAACCGATACACTACGTACATTTATTACAATTTACTATTGATACTAACTTACTGTCGCTGTTCACTACCGATACATACCTATTTCGGCGCCTCAGAAGTATGTGTACCAATATGGAGGTAACTAATTTTGTTCGCCCACTTCACATCAAGTTGTATAAAGGGACTGAAACCTATTAATCTCTGAAAATATTTACTCGGCTAACACAGATAGTCCCCGAACTCGTAATAGAACTAAAAGAGGGAAATCGTATTAAAATGATGACCTAACCTCAACCTGCTACTTTCAATCATTAACAATAAGACAACAATCAATTCAGTCATTCACTTTAATAATTATTATCCAATGAGTTGATTCGTATATAATGCAGAACAAGGTTATGGTCGTAAAATGGACGTAATAGCTTTCGGACTGTCGTAACTACACATTGGTTTCGTTATATATATATATATATATATATTGATGTGTATTTTGTGACAAATATATCAAATAAAGGCACGGAAAAGGAGAATTGGAGAGTAGTTAATTAACTGGTTCGACGGAGAAAGTAGTTGTCAAATAAGTTTTAAGTCACATGTCATATATAAGTATTCCCATTTGTAATAAAATGTTGTTTTCTTAAAAAAAATTAAACATAGAATTTTGGGTGAAACATCGAGTCGAATATGATTCAGGGGAAATTTAAAGCAGGTCTTTAAAGGCAACTTTATTATTTTTACGTACCGAAAATGAAAATAAAGTGGTCCATTGATCGGGAAGACATTTTTTCACAACGATTAGGCAAAACGATCCATATGTACACTTATATACAAAAAATATCTTAGAATAACAAAGATCCTATTTTAAAAATTCTGTTAATCCCTTTTTGGGATTAAAATTTTTATTCATTCCTTTTTAATCCTAAAAATAAGACATGAAAAACGAAAGTAAGAATGAAATATAAAAAGCAAACCACGAAATGACAAAAAAAGAACGCAGAAAATGCACGCAAATATAATCACACTACGAGTCTATACTATATTTATTTAAATAATAACAGTTTATAACGCGGGGGGAAACTTAATAAGAAACGAGAGGTAGAATCGTCGTCATGAATTCTGAAAATAAACCAATTCGGCCCCGCTCGCCTATGAGCACATGAAAAAAGGAAGAAAGAATGAAATAAAAAATCAAACCCCTGAACGACAAAGAAATAACACGAAAACTACTAACTATGATAACCCTACAAGTCCACGATATATATAATTGATAATAGTTAATAATATTAGGTTGATGAAAGTAAATAAGAAATATCAATGTCTTCATGCGGAGTTTTCACTTGAAATAGAGGGTTATGGATACGCAGTCACAGATACGAAATCGACTTCTATTTTTGAAAAAAATACTACTTTTATTTGAAAAGACTGTTGAAATCTTGCCTACTCAATTTTAACACTCAGAATAATTTAAATACAAGGTCTTTAATCTGTAACTCCGATATTTTTAGCCTAAACCAAAAAACACCAGGCCTTTCCACCCTCAGAGAAAAGTATGCACATTGTGAACAAACAAACGAAAAAGCCACTGTTCTTCAATGAGCTACCACTTCACTTTGGATGTAATGAGTTATAAGTAGGCAATGCCGAAGCAAAAACTCTGGTCATTTTTAAAATAGTAACTTCGGACATATCGGTAACTTCTCGTCGAAGACCTTGTTTGGAGTGAAAGTTTGAAAATACTCATATGTTGATGTGAAAACTTGACTTATAATATCAATGTTTACTATGTTACCCCGAATGCTATGCTGCCTTATAAAATTGGAAGTAATGCATTTGCGGAGTCTTTCTCAAAGCGATAAAATATGAATACATATAACCAATGGCGGAATACAAGGGTTCGCGCGATTCCGTTCTCAGAATGTCGTGATTATCATCAAACAGACGACCGCTGCAAATTGGACACGTACACCGCAACTGACGACTATCGGTATATTTGGCGTTCCGAAAGTATTGGATTAGATTTATGTGAAGCGTGACTTGTTAATGCAGCTTATGTAGGTACCTACATATATTTTATGAGGCTCGAGTTCCAAATAGCGACTGTCAGAACAGCGACTGTCAATAGAGCGACCACACGACAGTCGACAGTCGCTATCCGGCATGGATACCATTTCATGAAATTAGAGGGACCTGCTGTTAATGAGTTTGATACAGAAGAGGCCCGTTTTCAAAATTGTGAATCCCACCACTACAAATACCTCTTCACTTTGTGGTATCATATGAAAGTTTTAAACCGGAATCATTACTTTACGAACTATCCGATGGAGTTTTTGGAAAATCGTCACTCCCTGATCTTGTTTCCCCCATTTATTACGTTGTCCACCATTGTCTTGAGGTAATGCGTTGTTTGCGTTGTGCTTTGTGAAATAGCATTAACTTCATTATATTGTAGTCCTGTATAAAATTGGTTTATAACACCTTGGTATTCTTACCAGAAGGACTATCTGGTGCAGTTTGTGGACAATCGCTGTTTCCTACTCTTATTTCTCCACATGATACATGGGTTACCATTGTTTTTTGGTTTCGCAATGTTTGCTTTTTGCCTTGAATATGTTGTACTGTAGAATACGTATCATCTAATTTGTCAGGAATGGACACGTGACTGCTTTGCGCTTGCTTGCTCTGATTGGATGTTTGAGCCGGTCCCTCCCACTTCCTGTGGGTTTGATTGGTCGACCACCACTGGTTTGGGGCATTGCACTGTTTGATCTTTGCCTTGAATTTCTTTCACTGTAGAATACGTGTCTTTTGATTTGCCAGGAATGAAAACGTGACTGCTTTTGGCCTGACTTGATTGAATGGATGAATTGGCCCCTCCCACTTCCTGTGGATTCAATTGGGTATTCACAATCGGTTTGGGACATTGCACTGTTTGCTTTTTGCTTTGAATCTGTTGCACTGTAGAATACGTATCTTCTGATTCGTCAGGAATGGACACGTGACTGCTTTGTGCTTGATCTGATTGGATGTTTGAGTTGGGCCCTTCCACTTCCTGTGTAATTGATTGGTTATTCACAATCGGTCTGGTACATTGCACTGTTTGCTTTTTGCCTTGAATTATTTGCACTGTAGAATACGTATCATCTGATTCGTCAGGAATGGACACGTGACTGTTTTGTGCTTGATCTGATTAGATGTTTGAGTTGGACCCTTCCACTTCCTGTGGATTCGATTGGTTATTCACAATCGATTTGGGATTTCGCACTGTTTGCTTTTTGCCTTGAATGTCTTGCACTGTGGAATATGTATCTTCTGATTCGTCAGGAATGGAAACGTGACTGTTTTGTGCTTGATCTGATTGGATGTTTGAGTTGGACCCTTCCACTTTCTGTGGAATTGATTGGTTATTCACAATCGGTCTGGTACATCGCACTGTTTGCTTTTTGCCTTGAATTATTTGCACTGTAGAATATGTATCTTTTGATTTGTCCGGAATGAACACGTGACTGCGTTGTGCTTGATTTGATAAGATGTTAGAGTTGGGATCTCCCACTTCCTGTGGATTCGATTGGTTATTCACAATCGATTTGGGATTTCGCACTGTTTGCTTTTTGCCTTGAATGTCTTGAACTGTGGAATATGTATCTTCTGATTCGTCAGGAATGAAAACGTGACTGTTTTGTGCTTGATCTGATTGGATGTTTGAGTTGGACCCTTCCACTTTCTGTGGAATTGATTGGTTATTCACAATCGGTCTGGTACATTTCACTGTTTGCTTTTTGCCTTGAATTTCTTGCACTGTAGAATATGTATCTTCTGATTCGTCAGGAATGGAAACGTGACTGCTTTTGGCCTTACTTGATTGGATGGATGAATTGGCCCCTCCCACTTCCAGTGGATTCAATCGGTTATTCACAATCGATTTGGGACATTGCACTGTTTGCTTTTTGCCTTGAATCTGTTGCACTGTAGAATACGTATCATCTGATTTGTCAGGAATGGACATGTGACTGCTTTGTGCTTGATCTGATTGGATATTTGAGTTAGGCCCTTCCACTTCCTGTGTAATTGAATTGGTATTCACTATCGGTCTGGTACATTTCACTGTTTGCTTTTTGCCTTGAATGTCTTGCACTGTGGAATATGTATCTTCTGATTCGTCAGGAATGGACACGTGACTGCTTTGTGCTTGCTCTGATTGGATGTTTGAGTTGGACCCTTCCACTTTCTGTGGAATTGATTGGTTATTCACAATCGGTTTGGGACATTGCACTGTTTGCTTTTTGCCTTGAATTATTTCCACTGTAGAATTCGTATCATCTGATTCGTCAGGAATGGACACGTGACTGCTTTGTGCTTGATCTGATTGGATGTTTGATTTGGGCCCGTCCACTTCCTGTGTAATTGATAAGTTATTCACAATCGGTCTGGTACATTGCAGTGTTTGCTTTTTGCCTTGAATTATTTGCACTGTGGAATATGTATCTTCTGATTCGTCAGGAATGGTCACGTGACTGCTTTGTGCTTGCTCTGATCGGATGTTTGAGTTGGACCCTTCCACTTCCTGTGTAATTGATTGGTTATTCACAATCGGTCTGGTACATTGCACTGTTT